ATAAATAACAGTTAAAACAAATATAATAAAATACTTTTATATATCCTTTAACATACTATTATTTATTTAGAAAATTACAAATGTAATCATTTTTTTAAGTTTATTTTTTCAAAAACTAGTAAAAGATAAACGTTTTGACATTTCGCAAATACTCCACAAAATACACATGATTATTTGTGGGGAAATCTTTATTTTTGGGCTAATTTAAAATATATATATATATATATATATATATATATATATATATATATATATATATATATATATATATATATATATATATATATATATATATATATATATATATATATATATATAATATATATATATATATTTGTCATTTGCTATTATATTATCTAATTAAATGATCATCGTTCTTGAATTCACACATTTCATGACATTCATGACTAAAATATGCACCGACTGGAAGGTTTAGCACGTGGACTGTAGAGCTACCTGGATTTAGTGCTACTGTACTATAGTCTATGCATTATGTACAAGCTCAAATGCATCATTCATCAAGGTTAATTCGAAAATCCTTTTTGCGATCTTCATTTACGCATTAATGCGTATATATCTATATCTATGTATGGTATGGAAGAAAGAAAAAGTCCTAAAAAGCACACCTCTTTAATTTCTTGATCTCTGTCTTCTTCAATGGCAGCAAAACCCCATGTGGACAGCACTAAATGCATTGGAACTTCCAATTTCTGAAAATTTCTCTCACATACTGACATTAAATTTCAACTACCCACATCAGATTTCATCCTTTGTTTTCTACTTTCTTCTTTCGATTCCTCCAAATTCATTTAAAAAACCAAATCTTGATTTCAAATAAAAACAGGGGAGAACATTTGTCTGTTCTCTTTCTTTAAAATACTCCATTCTTGACTTCTACTTCCTAAAGATTCGGTTTATCTTGTTGGGCTACTATCAAGAAACTCAAACAAAAGAACGGAGCATTTTAATGGCGATTTGCAGGTTTTATTCCCTTCTGTTCTTGACAATTTCATGGAGTTTCTTCTTCGCGAATGCAATCCAACCTTCGCAAAAACAAGTCCTCCTGCAGCTCCGAAAACAACTGGAGTACCCGAAGCAATTGGATATTTGGCTCGACACAAGTACTGATTTCTGCTACGTGTCATCACCACAAGTCAATGTCACATGCGAAAACAACTTTGTTTCAGAGCTTAAAATCATGGGATTTGCTTCCGATCAAACGCCAAAGAAGGTAAATTCGGGTTCTTTTCATGGGTTTCCGATTCCTTCACAAACACTATCTCAAAACTTCTCAATCGACTCTTTGATTGCCACTTTATCAAGATTAACAAGCTTGAAAGTTCTTAGTCTGGTGTCTTTAGGAATCTGGGGCCCACTTCCTAACAAAATTCAAAGATTAAACACACTCCAATACATTGATTTGAGTTATAATTTCTTGTATGGCTCAATTCCTCCAACTCTTTCAAGAATGGTGAGTCTTCAAAGTGTGAATCTTGATGGGAATTTCTTGAATGGTAGTTTTCCTAAAGGCGTTGACTTGTTATCAAGTTTGACCAGTTTAAGCTTGAGCGAAAATGGGTTTTCTGGTGATTTACCAGATCTACAAGATTTGCCAAACAGTTTGATCATTTTGTATCTGAATAACAACTCGTTTTCTGGTCAAATCCCGGTCAAATACAGTCAACTCAACCACCTTCAAGAACTCGATCTTTCATTCAATTCACTCTCTGGTGTTCCCCCGTTTTCTCTATTCTCATCTTCATCCATTACTTACTTAAATCTAACATCAAATAAGTTGTCCGGTTCACTTCCGGTTCACTTACAATGTGGAAACAAACTCGCAAACGTCGACATTTCACAAAACCGATTTACAGGCTCCTTGCCGTTATGCTTAACGAACGAATCCAACAATAAAACCGTTAAATATGACGGGAATTGCCTCATGATTGATGTGACACGTCAGCATCCAGCATCGTATTGTGTAGAAGAAGCTCGAGGGGTAGAAGTGGAAACTAAAGATTTGAAAGATTCTGGACATAGAAGGAATCCAGTGATAATTATTGGAGTGATTTTAGGGAGTATTATGTTTCTTGTGCTTTTGGTATTAGGGTTTGTGATTCTTTCTAAGAAGCTTTGTGCTCGAGGAGTATCTGAACAGAAATTGCTGCATAAATCGGTCCAAGATTACTCTGTTACGGGCTACCCATCTGAACTTTTAACCAGTGCAAGTAAGCAGAGTGTTTCTTTAGGCATTGTTTGGGTGTCATAGTCTAAAAAGTAAATTATAAGCTAGCTTTTTGAAAAGCTAGCTTTTTGAAAAGCTACTTGGAGGTGTTTGGCTTAGCTTTTCAAACCCCAAAAATCCTTTTTGGAAAAGTTATAAAAAGTTAGGATATCTGACTTTTCCAAAAAATTCATTTTCCTTATGTAAAAATTCAAAAGTGGCTTTTAAAACTAATTTGCCAAACATCTTTTGCTTCTTTTTCTTTTCCAAAAAAGACTTTTGGTTGTGAAAAGCTAAACCAAACACCCCCTTAGACTAGCTTTTTATGAGTTTTTTTAAAAATTTCCATACATCCCTTAATTAATTATAGAAACACATACTTTTACATATCTTTTTATGTAATTTTATATTTTTCAGCTATTTTTACCAACCGTTATTTTTTATCAACTAGTTTTTCAATTATCAGCTAACTTTTCAGCTATCAGCCAACTTTTCAGTTAGTACACCAAACATAGTCTTAATGCATAATACAAAATGTTTTTTTAAACTTAATGCATTGAGAATGTTTATAGATAATGCATTGAGAATGTCTTGATGAGTATTAAGTTTAAAAAAACATTCTCAATGCATTAAACATGTCAAAATTAATTTTTGGGAACACGAAAATTACCAAAATGCCATAGTCCAATAAACGAAGTGGACTTTTTGACCCTTTAAACATAATGACATCATTTGCATTTTGCAAATCTCACATTATTTTTTTTATAAATGGTCCCCACCACTCATATTTTTAGGAAATGATGTTATTTGGAAAAGATTTTCTTTTAAAGTTTTTTGCGGCCTTTTGTGAGTAAAGGTGACCGCAATTAATGTCGTTGCTAAATTGATTGTAAGTTTATGTAAATGGACAAAAGGTGGCCACTTCATTAAATGTGTTTATTTTTGTGATTTTCGATGAGATTTCATTTAAAAACGATTAAATATTCTTCTATTTTTATTCTTACAAATCTTTTATCCAATTAAATGATAATAGGTGTGATATTAGTATATATTAAAATATCATTAAATTTACATTAAATGTTAGGATAGGAAGATTTTATAAAAACAAAAAGTAAAAGGATATTTAATTTCTCTTAAAAAAAAACTGCTCATTGATTTATTAGTTTTTCAAAAGTTACTAAGTCAAAAATAAATTTTGGCAATGATAAGCTTCTTGAAAAGTTAAAAACACCTTCAAAAAATAGCTTTTGAAAAGTTAGACATATCTCATTTTTGAAAAAGTCACAAGTCAATAAATTATTTTTATTTTATTTTATATGTATAAGCTAGCCATATATTTTTTAACTTATTGACTTTTCTACCACGAAAACTAATCCATACATTTTTGAAAAACTCCTTTCGAAAAAATCATAAGTCAATAAGTTAGTTTGTCAAAAGCAGAGTTCAAAAAACAATGCCAAACACCCATAATCATGAATTGAATTTTGATTGGTTTATTTTGTTAATTAGGATTGGTTTCAGAGGCTGCAAAGTTAGGAACAGAAGGAATCCCAGTTCACAGATTGTTTTCTTTTGAAGAGTTAAAGGAAGCTACTAACAACTTCCACAGATCTACCTTAATAGGGGAAGGTTCAACGGGCAAGGTACAAATCTTAAAGCACAATGTATGCATTCTCGACAAATTTAAGATCACTTATTATACATATATACTTTTATCCAGATCTACAAAGGGAAGCTTGAAAATGGGACAGACATTGCAATAAGACATTTGACAGTGTCTAAAAAGTACACGATTAGAAACCTTAAATTAAGGTTGGATTTGCTCGCAAGGCTTCGACACCCACATTTGGTTTGCCTTTTGGGGCATTGTATTAGTGGTGAAGGGCAAGATAATGGTGAATCAAATAAAGTGTATCTTGTGTATGAATATGTGCATAATGGGAATTATCGTTCGCTTCTTTCTGGTAAGTTTTTTTTTTGGTATATAAATTGTGAAATTGGTGATTCCTTTTTATACCACTATGAATGGCTCTAATATGTCATAATGGTATAAAGAGGACAAACTTAAATAAATTCCCTTGTTGAATTTGTAAATTTGAGATGTGTGATTGAAGTTTTAGCGTTTTATGCAGGGAATGGAAGTGAGAATGTTGTTCTTAAATGGGGAGATAGATTGAGGATTTTAACTGGTGTGGCTAAAGCTGTGCATTTTCTTCACACTGGACTCATTCCTGGTTTTTTTAGTAATCGATTGAAAGCAAATAATATTTTGTTGAATGAAGATGGGATGGGAAAACTGAGTGACTATGGGCTTTCGATTATAGCGGAAGATATTAAACAAGATGTATGAAAAAAGAAATGTTTTATCATAATTACCTTTTACTTGAGCATTTAATTGCAAGATCTGACCTTTTTTTAATGTTTGTTGTTTTGTAGGCGAATGGGGAAGGTGTAGAATCATGGTAAGGGGAAAAAAAACAAAAAGGAAAAAACGTTAACTTTTGACTTTCTTGTGGATTTTGAGAGAGAATGTGTGTATTTTTGTAGGCAAATGAAGAACTTAGAGGATGATGTCTACAGCTTTGGATTCATTCTACTTGAGTCCCTTGTTGGACCTTCTGCCGCATCTAGAAAAGATGAATTTTTGATGAATGAGATGGTATTTTCTTAATTATAATAAAAAAAATGTTAAATACAAGAAAGAATTATGTATTTCCATTTCTTGGTATTACTTTAAAAAATCTACCCATTTATAGCAATGCCATCTATATAAAAAGCAATGTTCATCACTATAATTGGATAGATTTTTCAAAGTATAATATGTTAATAAGAAAAACACAAGTTGTGTTTTATATTGTTTTTCTTATTAAGATATGATACTTTGAAAAAATCTTTGTTATGGGATTTGGGTATTGTTGTTTGTTTTGATATATTTTGATATATTTACAGGCTTCTTTTGGAAGTGAAGAGGAACGGAAGAAAGTAGTGGACCCTGTTGTACTTGATTCCTGCTCACAGGAATCACTTTCGGTTATAATCTCCATAACCAAAAAATGCTTTTGTGGTGATTCATGGGCAAGACCCTCTTTTGAAGACGTGCTTTGGCACTTGCAGTATGCTGCTCAAATTCAAGCTGGGACCCAACAATCTGCTGAAAAAGTTTTATTCATGGGGTGTTGATATTTTGCCTTGTAGTAATTGTATATAAAATAAGCTATTAGAGACCTTTATTCCAATATTACTCTTTCTTTTTCATGTATTAAATAATTTTGACTTTTATGAATGTAATTGTATATATTCACTTTATCATGTATCTTGATGGGACTTAATATACAACGATGACAATAATGGATTATGTAAGAGAAACCTTCTTTGTCAACTTACTCCACACATTCATCATATATCCATTATTCTTACAGTCATTTATCTACTTAGCTGTTCATCCATACAACATTTTAAAAAAATATATATTTGTTTGTTTGATTAAATTTATGATTTATGTGTGGTGTTACTTTTTGTATGAGTTTCATTTTGTAGAAGACGAAGTTGAGTTAAATCAAGCAAACGTGATTGTAAGTGACTGTTCATCTCTATCACATGCTTTGTCATGTTAGTGATCAATAATCTATTCTCAACGTTCGTTTCCACTTTCAACTGTAAGGCTTCCGGTGTCCTTTCTACCTGCAGTGCACAAATAAAAAAATAAAACAAGGGCACATAAGTAATTTCACTTCATTTTTCTTTTAAAAAAAAAAAGGTAATGCATCATCAAGTGAGAGTAAACCTCTAAATCAATACTCTGTTGTTCCAGTAAGTTGGCACTTTGATACTCATGAGTAATTTGTTGTTGCGTAGAAGAAGATGGTAGAAGAAGGGTAATACTTGAATTAGATGGATCGTCTTGGTGAGGATACTTTTGGAGTAATGATACGGGCAAATTCGTAAATTGGCGATGATGATGTGGCAAGGGGAGGAGTGAGGAGTGTGGGATCACAACCATATTAGTAATAAAACCTGCATGTATGGATAATAATATCAAGAATGTCGTGTTTTTTAGGATTTGTAAATAAATTAACAAAATAAGGTTGTTATTTTTTTTCTCCTAATTTATTGCATACTAACTACTAACTACTCCCTGTCCCTACTTACCGAGCATCCATAACCACCCACAATATATAGGCCATAGGAACTCAAATTATTATAGGTTACGTAAGAAATAATTCAGAAAGTAATAATGGAGTTGGGGCCTAGTTATTGAGCATCTCCAGCTACAGGAATCTATGAAATGTTGGTTTCTTGGATGGATTGAATTTGACAATTTCATTATGGGTAATTTTGACAAATCACATAGCCAGCGGAAATGGCAGCGACAATAAAAGTGGCAACGACAATATTTGCATCTAATTACATTTTATTGAAATGGTTAATGGATTGTAGAGAGATTTTTTCTATAACCATTGTGTTTAAGTATTGGATGGATTTAGTCGATCAAGGTGATGAAAAAAAACTTTAGATTATCGGAACAACGATTGTTACACCATCAAAAGTGAAGAATTTTGGGAGGACGTTGAAAGCATTTTAGCTCTAACAAAACGACTTTTCTTGTTGATCAAATTTTGTGATCTCGAAATGAGAAAATCTTGTTAGCTAAAGCTTTTCATTGTTTAGGCTTTTGCTTTATAGTTTGATGGAAGTTTATAACTAGTAAGAGTGCGTTTGGTTGTAGAAAATTGTTTTCATTTTCTAAGAAAATGTTTTCAGAAAATAGAATTGAGTTTTCATTTTCAATTTTCAATGAAAATTTTAGAAAACGCGTTTGGTAAAAACCGAACGGAGTTTTCATTTTTCATCTTAGAAATTTGGAAAACTTTGGAAAACTGTAAAAATCACTTTTATAATTTACATACAACTTGGAAAACTGAAAATTTTCATTTTCTTGAAATTTTTTGGAAAACTGAATAAACCAAACGCGTTTTCAAAATTTCCATTTGCACAAAGACCTCTCATACTCTTAAAGTCAACAACGTTTCTCTCCTTTACACCAAATGTATCTTCAACCGGTTTATTAAAATAAGGGAAGATTGTTTTTTAATAATTATAAATGATGTTTACTTTTTGCTATGCTTTGTAACTGTTTTATTATTCCTATGAAGAAGAATGTGCGTTGGACAAGAGAAATCGGTCATGTATATATAGAGATAGTTACCCCGGTGAAATTAATTCTATGAAATAAATTCTAATTATGAAATAAATAATTGATTTACTAAAATCAATTCTATGAAATCAATTGATTCGGTGAGAACTTCTTTATATATAATATAATAATTGATTGCTAATCTTGTTTCCAATCGCATTGAAGAATTAGATTATTAGACGTTCTCAAACATGCTCAAAATAGAGAACACCGATCATAGGTACTTTTGCAAACCCCTTGTCACTATCAGTTAAGTTAACCTTCATCGAGTTGTCCTAAAACAAAAAGAACTTATAGATGGGTTAATTCTATAAGAATTAACAATATTCACTAGAAAAATAAGGTCATTTATTGCCTATTAATTCGGGTTTCTAACACTATATCTTCCAATAAAGAAATCTTATACACCCAAATTGGTACCAATAATTTATTCGTAATAGTTACGAATGTACAAATAGGTAAAAATAACAAGAAAATTTTCAACAGAAAATATTTCAGTTTTCATGGTATATCCGAAAAGGAAAGCATAGAAATTCCATCGATCACAGAACTAATTTTCCTATTTTCTTAACAACTATATCATGAACTTTCTTTAACTAATATAAAGTAATAGCAGTTAGTTAATTACCTTTGTGATGATTAAATCGTCGAATGATCACACCCTCAATAACATTCCACAAGCAAACAGTACAATCCTCAGAAGCAGAAATAAGACCGGATTTACAAAAAGTCAATGTTGTAATAGATTCCCTACAATTCCAATCGAATCAAATTATACAAGTTGTTCACAATCTAACATCAATTTATATAACATAACCAACAATTAAAAAGTAAACACATACTTATGTCCATTCAATTCCAATTTTTGATCCTCTGAATCAAAGGAAGCCTCCTTCATCAATCCAACATCAAATGGGGTCATAAAGATCCTTCCATCTGCACTTCCAGAAAACAGAAATCTCTCCAAAGGGTCAAGAACTGTTGCAGTTATCGGTTGTGGAAAAGACCAAGTTTGCAAAAGTGTCCCTTTTACAAGCTCCCATACCTATTTATAAAAGACATAATTTGGAAACATTTAATATATCAAAGATGCACACAAATACCATTATATTAATATCAAACATGATACTAAATTCACCTTGCATGTGCCATCAAGTGAGCTTGATACAAAAACTGATTGAGAGACAGATGAAGATGGTAAGAGTCCAGTTATGAAGGATTTATGCTCAGTTGAAACACTTAGCGATAAATCAGAGGATTCTAAATTTTTATCATCTAGTAAACTGGCACGAAAATGAATAAGCAAATTTTCAGATAGTTTGTTGTGCATATGTCATAAACCTTTAAATAAACCATAGATGTTGTTACCTTATCATTGGCCAAACAACTATCATTCCATCTTCGGATCCAGATATAAGTAGAGAGGCATCATTAGAAAAAGCCAAACAAGTTATTGGCGAATTATGTGCATGCCAAGTTTTGAGCAATTTACCACTAATAACCTGTGAAAAAATTCAATCAAGATGATATTTGGGGGAAAAATAACCTTGATGTAGTGTAGTAGAAGATTATATACCTCCCAAATGTAGAGATTTCCAGAAATGGCTCCACCTGCCAAATATATACCATCTTTCGTGCTTGAAATCGGCCCAATGGCTTCAATGGTATAGCTCCGTAATGATGAACGAGGCTGAAATCATTTAGTACGAATCAACGTAAGAATTTGGTAAAACCCTCAAATGGATCATTGGAATTGTGGGAAAATATCCTAAATTGAATTGATCGTAGAAGTAGTACCTTAGAGAAAGGCCAGGTGAAGATGACGCCGCCAGCGACGGAGCCAGGGAGGTGAATTTGAGAGGCGACCAAGTACTGATTTCTCAAACAAGTGAGTCCATGGAAGTGTGAAGCGCATGTGGGTATGTGAAGAAGATGATCCCCTGTTTCTATGTCCCAAATCGTGAGTCCCACCGTTAAATTCTTGTCTCCGCAAACCACCAATGCTTCCTTCATGTCTCTCTCTTTCCACTCCCAGTGAAACCCAGTTTGAATGCTGTGATTTGGAAGGAGAATTTAGGGGTTTTAGTGATCGGGTAGCAGGGATATCTGTTGTTACCGCAATCCCCTGTCCGTTTGCGTGCCAATGGTGGTACGCCATGTCAGGTGTGAAAACTGTAAAGGTGGAATGCGTGAAAGCTGGAGAAGGATTACGAGTATCCCACACAAATTTTGATGTTTAGTGCATACGATTTTGACAATCTATGCAATCGACGATGGTGATCGCCATGCACTCAATCACATTCTAAATTGCGTAACGCTTTAGGTTTTATGTTTTAAATTGCCCATAATTTTTTTTTTTTTTTTGTGTCCCATATCAAAATAACCTATTAAGCCAAGTCATTATAACAAGTTAGCAGCTAAATGATTTGGCTTAATGGTTGGTTGGAAGTCTCCTAATTTTTTAATTAAGACATTTTAAATTTTTAGATTCAAAGCTTTGATAATCTCTTAAATCTTTCATCCTCTAAATTTCTAGAGAAATAGTTGTATATGAATAAAAACAAGGATCGTGTTCTCAAAATACTCTAATTTTTCAGCAAATCTTTTTCCCTCTTCTTTTTTTTATTTTATACGATCATCTCTCTTTTCAATTCGAAAAATTCAGATTATGTCAAATAGCACGTAAATCTTGTTGGTTGTTCACATGGACTCCACTTAGAATTATTGAGATGATGTGGCCTAATTCCACTACTTTTTTCTCCATTTTCACCGGAATGTTCTTTCTTCTCCCTCTTCATCGGAATGCTATTTCTACTCCCTCGTCTTCCTTCTATTATTTTGACAACCACCCTACATCCACCTAACAACCAACCATATTAACAAATTCAACTTCATCTTCACATCTTTGTGTTGTTCCACCTGAAATTGTAAACATATCTCTTTACTAATATTAGGAACAAAATGAATAAAGTGGAAGTAGGTATTTTATGTTTTCTAATTGCCAATAAGATCAAACACCTAGAGTGCAGGTTTTTATTCTACCAAAATATGAAAACCCATTTACATATACATACTTAATTAAAAATGAAGCTAAAAAAAGCATACATCACGAGGATAAAGTTTCAATAATGTAGTGGTAGCCACGAAAGGCTTTTTGTCTGTTTAACTATATACATATAAATAATTAGAAAAATTCATAACCCAAAAACAAAAATACAATTTAGAATCAAAACATAATAAAGAACAAACGATGTTTCCTTTGGCAACACAATACAACATTAGAAAAAAGAGAATGCACATGATCATGGTGTGATTAAGACATACACATAAAGAACAATATAACATATTCAAATAGTGAAACGCTCGGTTTTGGTATAAGTCAATTTTGTGCATAGGTTAAATCTATTTTGAGTTTTAGGAGTTTGCCTCTCCTCAGCGCGGTGGTTGTGACGCCACAACGTGGTGTTTCCACATCTCCATAGGCGTGGTGGTCATTTAATGTTCACGATGCGGTGCCGCAATGCGCACAAACCCCTAGGTTTTGGGCCTTAAGCTCTATTTAAAGGATGTAAGGCTAGGGTTTCATCCAACTTCGGCCTCCATCATTCCAAAGAACCCCTACCTAAACCCTAATCTCAACTCTTTTGCATTTTGCACCATTCTTGAGTTGTTTCACACCTTGAAGGAAAGAAGAAATCATGGGGGGGGGGGGGGAAGCATCAAAGAAAGTTTATCACAACCTTTTTAGAGCATTCTCCGGACTCTTATAAGTCTTCAAAGCCATATCTTTATGATTTATTTCTTTAGGATTTAGAGTTCTAAGCAAGTTTGGCCAGTTTTGAGAGTTTTTAGTAAGATTGAGAATAAGGTTTGCAACTTTATTACTCTTTGGGTCCCAAGAGTAGTATGTGTTTTCAGATATGGTCTCACAATTTCATTGGTGTTACTATAACGTCCTAAAAATACTAGTAAAAATTTCATTTTCAAAACACCCAAAAAGATACAACCAATTGTTCCAAAAACCAACCACGATATAAATATTCTCAACATGAGAGTAAATCTAAATAACAATGCGGAATAAAAATTGAGAGGATGTTGTGTGGTCACACCGTACCCTTCCATTTGGAACCAGAAGTACCTGAAATGTTTAAACCACAAATTCGTAAGCACAAAGTTTGATGAGTTTCCCAAAATACCATATATCATACATAACATCAGGCCCTGCCCACATATCAGACCCCAAACATCATATCGGATCTCACCCATCATAATGGGCCCCACCACAACATACAACGCAAGAGTAAAAAAATAGCTATAATCCTACATAGTATAGTGAGAAGACTCACCTTTCTCAAAAAATCAGACAAATCCCAACTCAACGTCACGAAATAGGTGCTATAACCCACTCGTCGAATCACATAAGGTCTCACCTTAGTCTATACTCTAGAACTAGGAATTTGACCAAAAGTCAACGGTCAACATTGACTTCAACAGACTTCCACGTCGTGGTTGTTGAACTCAGCCCCATTCCAAAATCCCAGTCGCAAATAAATCCATGTACACGTCGTGGAACTCAAGCTACCACGTCGTAATAAGGTCCATCCAAAACGGTCCCGAAACCTCCAGGCACCACGTCGTGCCATCAAATGTCACCTTGGACACGATCGATAGTAGGGAGAAACCCGAGTGGTGGGTAGACAACGAAGGAGCAGAAGCATCACCAGGAGTAGACATCTATAAAGAAAAAGTAGTTTTAGTTAGACGAAAATAATCCCTATTTTAACCCATAATAAATAATTACGGTCATGATCCAAAATAACAATTCACAACTAAGAAGAGGGATGTCGTAATCTTATCGTGAATTTATAAAGATTGGTAAAAGCAATTTACCAGTTTTGAACTATGAAACTCCTAGATTTTTTGAGATTTATTGAATCTATCAATATCATGTTTAATTTTAGATTATGCTCTTTCATTTTTGACTCGTATACCGAGGATCACAAACAATAAGTGAATAACCATACAAATACGGTTGGCACTCTCGATGTCATTTATCATCTCTTATTAATGTGTCAGTTAACCACACACGCTCCATCAACAATGATAATTTTCAAAATGCCCATTATAACTCTTTATAGTCACTATTAGTATGTCGGTTAAACACACGCACTCCATTAACTACTTATAAAGTATAATGTAGAATTTTAAGGATTAGCATACTTTTCACATTTTTCCTAAAGTAATTAAGAATGAGATTTTATAAAAATAGTTTAGTTACTTTATATCATTATACTTATTAATGAGATTATGTCATATCAAACTCGTTCAACTAACGACACTCCACCATGCAAGAGAGCGGCAGGTAAGAATAGATACTCAATGGTGGTCATTTTTATAGGCGGTTTCCTTAAACTCCCCTTATAATATGGCTTAGTGAATGAGGTCTACTATTGATTTGAGTGGCTTTGTCCTATACATATAATATATAAATTTAAATTTTTGAGATTAAAATAATTAATTTAATTTAAAATAAACCAATTAAGATTTATTCTTTATCTTTTAATTAAAAATTAATTATATTAATTTAAATCTTATGAGGATTAAATAATTATTTACCATTAGCTATTCATCAAATAATTTAAACTCCATCTAAATTTTTTGATAATCAAGGGATAAGGGGTTATCCATTTTTAATTATCCTATTTTAAACAATTTAAAAGTAATAATTATCAAATAAGGAAACCATAGAAATTTCGAAATTAGTGGGTGGGGGCTATGGTTTCAAGAACCCTAGCCGAAGTCGAAATTTTATATCCCTTAGAGTTTAATTTCAATAAATCCTAATCTTTATATATTCAACTATTATGCATATTCAATTGAAAACAATGGCTCTGATACCAATGATGGGATTTATAGGTTATAAAAATCATATTTTTGCGGAAAAACTTAAACCCTAAGTTTGCATGCAACCTAAAAGGATCTATGTTTTCAGTATTGAATGCAATAACCAATTGAATATCAAGAACCCTATAAGAACCCTAGGTATTTCAAAAATAGCAAAAGGGTTTAGAATTACATACCTATTGATTATACTAGTAGATAATCAATCACAATCTTTCCTGAAGTTACTTGGAAGCTAGCACCAAAAATCTTGTGCCTCTGATGGTTCACACCCAACCCTAGCAACAAGGAGGATTAAAGAGACAGGATAAGGGATGGAGAAATTTCGGTTATCCTTAGGAATTAAGAGATGGTCGAAAATCATAGGTTGAGGGGTCTTTATATAATAGACTTAGGGAACCCTAGATAATCCTAATTTGAATAAAATAATATTAATTCATATTGGTAATTATCCAGCTTCCTATTTATATGTAGGGAATATTCCAGAAACTCTGTAATATCCCTAATTTTGTCCATCCTTCCAAGGAAGGTTTTGGAACCCTAATTTGTTCAAAAATTCAACAATTACACTTCAGCCCTTGCACTTTTAATTAATTCCAAATTTAATTCCAATTATTTTATGATTAATTGTTAATTAAATAATACTATTTCTAATCAGACTCTCTCTCTCTCTCTCTCTCTTAAAGTCATCATATTCAATTACTAGGACTGAGGCAATCCAAATTGATTTTGCTAATAATTCAAATATATACTAATTCAGTTATTAGCTTATACACCTAATCCAACAAAGGTTCCATCCTCCTCCTCTCGGGTGTCGATTATATATGCCAAGAATCTCTCGCATCCATGATGTAGGTATTTTTGGCCTTCACAGCAGAACAACATGTCAACTTACTTGCGGTACTCTTACCTCAGATAGTAAGTTCTCCATCACTTAAAATCTAAAATCGTACTATCTTCTACCTACAGTCGATTAGAGCCTTAAACCGGTTTAGCCAATCCATGCCTACTATTATGCTCATCTCTTGCATAGGAATGTGAATAAGGTTTATTGGGAAACTATCGTTGCCAATTTCTAAGATACAACTACAATAAAGTTTTGAGGCATTAATTGTTTGATTCTTGGCTATTTATACTCTCGAGGAGGATCTATCTATATTACTATAGTTTATTAGTTCCTATTGGAATCTGTGATGTTGACTAGACCTATCACTAATCCGAATGAACAATGATAGCTCAATCAAATAAGGATCAATTGGGACAGACTCTTGGGAGGTAGGACCATTTCGGTGTATAGCCCTTCTAAAATCCAACAACCAATCCAACGTGACTATTCTAGACACCTCTCTCATAAGTAGAT